CCTTGGTAAATTCTGAACTGTTCAAAAATCACTCTCTATAAATATACAGTTGACTTTACTGATTGTTGCCTGTGCTCTCTCATTTGCAGTCAGCATACTTTTTGCTAATACCAGTCTCACTTTTCCAACACATGCAGATTCAGGCATTCTGTTGGAAAAGGCTTGTTCTCCATTCTGCTTTGATGGCTAAACCCTTAATGTTTAATTTTCCCCTGGAATGGCTATCTCTTGCTGTCTTTAGGGTCATTCATATGCATGTGATGGTCTGTGGAAATTGAGAGCAACCCCAGCAATCAGAGGCAACCAAGGTTCAGAGAGCACTGCAAGGCCAACAGGCTTTTTCAAATCCCCCTGTAACAATTAAGAACTTAAGTAAAAATGCAAATCCACAGAAATTACCATTTGCCTGAGGCAGAAATCAGGAAAGGGCATTGTCATGACCACATCCATGCAAAAATATGGGGTGCTGTCAAAAAGCCCTGTATCTGTGGTAACTATGAGATATTTCGTGTGGCAAAGTATTCAAAACAAAGTTTAAATCTATCATATCACCCAGTTGAGGGCAATAACAATAAATGAGTCATTGTGTCTCAGACCCCTCTCACCACCATAGATCTACTGTGTAAACCAGAAAGTGCAGCTCATGTTTTTAGGGAACATACCAGCACTCCGGTTTTGTTCATCTTCCAGGAAGGATGTAGTGAAAATAGGAGCACTGCACTGCTGTGATACTTGGCTTAAAACTGCTATCTAGTTTTAAGACTAGTTTATCTAGTCACACTTTTAGGGAAGCTGATAACAAGCAAAAAATTATGCATTTGGCAATTTCCTTCTTCAGCTGCCAATTTGTAATGAAGTGAGGAGACTTCTATTACTGATTAAGAGGATACTGTATGTTGCCCTTTTAATCATGCATATTTTCTCATTGCTACCTCCTTTTCTTTTGAAGGAAATACATGAAAGTTATGCACATCTTGCACTATTGCCCAGGAAATAGTATAAACTTTCACATCACCAAGTTTCTTTTTGCTGCTACCTGCCTCTGCCACCATCCAGTATGGATAGTTAAGTGAGAATGCCAAAAGATGAGTAGGCATTTGATGAGTAGGAAAGAGGAGTTTGCCATTTTACTGGAGGACTACATAAACTGTGGATACCTGAGAATTCCTTCAGGTCTCTGAGTGTTGAAAGTCTTGCTTGAACTAGAGATTTTTCCCCAAACTTTCCACAGGTACTAACATTAGTTCTAGTGTCAGGTTTACAGAAAATGGTTTAGGAAAATTCCAGAATTTTTGTCTGTGCAGGTCAGATTGGTATTATTGGCAAAGTGACAAAAAGAAGCCCACATGTTAGAGGCTTGCTAATATGAAGTTTTTTGAGACAGTTGCTGCCTGAATTTAGAATATTTCCTGAAAATACCTTTAGAAATCCTTATACACCATTTAAATCTCTTGGTAAAAGCACCAATAGAGCTTTTTTAACTCAGAAACCCCACATGAACATGTAGCATAGATACACAAAAAATAGACGAGATTGGTAAAAATGCAGAACAATTCAGCTGGGAAGGCTACTTAAAACCTGAAAATTAATTCTAGAAGCAGCTCTGCCGTTAATCCAAAAAGTATTCTGGTAAGCAGATGAAAGATGAATGGGGTAAGAGCCTTTTTCATATTTTTAAAAACTGTGTTTTGGAAGAATGTCTTTGAATTATGAAAGAAATGGTATCTTCAGCTTATAGCACCTCAGAGTTGTCCTAGTTAAGTGTTCAGAACATTCAGTTAAGGCAAATGTAAAAGGACTCTTTTTTCTCTTTCCCAAAGCAGAAGAAAATTCCATTCACCTTTCATTACAGGATACAAGACAGGAGGATACTAATGATAGCTAAAAAAACTCCCCTAAACCCTCCAGGCTGTGAAGTTTTGGTTAGTTAAAAGATTTGAAATTAATTAAATATGTGAAATATTAATGTTGGATTTTGCCACATAGAAGGGGAGTAGACTAGATCGAACTGGGCACTAATTACATCAGTAGACATTATACATGCATTTGCCAGTCAAGCACGGACTGTTGTAAAATCTTAATGGACTGGAAGTAAACAAATCTTTTCTTTCTATCTTTCTAAGGCAGGAGCTGGATCCCAAAGAAGGTTGATTCATTTTCAACTCCCACTCAGTCCAGGCTTTTTTTGCTACTCAAGATGCCAGCAATACTGCTAATTATTGCCATAACAAGCACAATAAAGTAAAAAGTTTTTATGCTCTAAGCCCAAAGAGGCAACTAATTGCAGGTCCACACAATACTCATGGTATTCATTTAAACTTTTCATCCAGCCTGCCCTTTGCTGAAAACTTTAATGTAAGCTCTCCTACAGTAACTCCTCTCAGCTGCTTTATTCAGCACTGCTGTGGTTTTCCATGATTATTTTCTGTGGCATTCATTGACACACCATAGGAACAGTCAGCAACCACTAACCAGCTATGCCTCACTGGAACTGGGTTTGCCAGGAAAAATTAGCATCTTTGTTTTATACCGGTGGAGCAGAGAGGCTCCCACACAGTGAAGACACTGCAGAGCCAAGACACCATCCTCACTCATGCTCCTGACCCGATGTTCTGCTTCAGCTACCCTCTTCCTGACCATAAGAAAGCATTGGGAGTCCAGAATTTACCACAGATTTCCTCTGGTTTTCTGTCTGGGCTGTTGATTCTTGAATTCTTTACAAAGGCAGTTCTGAAAATAATAATTTGCAATTTGGCATTCCATGAGGATGTTTCCAAAGAGCCAATTCCTTTCTGTTACTGCCTGTGTCCTGGGACGGCATAGCTGTACTTCTGAATGACTCTCCTTCCCCTCAGGGTCTTTATATCAACAACTTTGCCTTGTCGTGTCATATAAAACAAAAATTGCTTCCTGACATCTGCCCAACTGTTGTTTTTTTTTTTTCTTTCTTTCCTCCCATGCTGTCTTTTCTGACCATGCAGTCATCTGTCTTACCATTTGAGAATATGCCATTTAAAATTATGGGGAAAAATATGGAAAATATCCATAGTGCAAATTCCAGAGGCAAATGACATATTTGACTCAGAACTGTATTTTTAAAAAAGAGCAGCTTAGTCTTAAAAAAAAAAAAAAGAACATACATAAAATTACTTTCTTATTGGTACTGCGAGGGGTGAATCTAAAAGACAAGTTCCATATCAATTCACACTTTTCAGCAAACCTTCTTCTGAGATGTTCATATTTAGGTCTCTTACCTGATCATACCTGGCCTCTACTTTACTCATTGTCTCAAACAATTCAAAGGAGAATTCAAAGAAAGAGTTTTTGGTCTGAGAAAATCACTGAGGGAAAAATACAAGAACTTTATTATAGTAAGGTTTCTAGTTGCAACTGTTAATATATTTAAATAATCTGAGAAATAAATAAATTTATTTATTTATTTATTTTGGGTGGAAAGTACTAAGACAAGAAAAGCCAGATACTGAACTTGACAGAATATTGTTAAAGGAGAAAATGGTCTTGTTGCATTGCAGGAAAGCAACCTCTAAGTTGAAAAATCACTTCTGAGTACGTGCTCAACAGGAAATACTTTTCACAAAGCCCTAGTTAAGCTGCATTCTTATTATTATATCCTTAATTCATCCTAATGAAATACATGATCAATTATGTAACTTAAAGAACGTCTAATACAGTTGATATAATGTTGGATTTTGAGATTTGATATTTCCACTTTTTAGTTCTGTGATACTTTCACTTCAAGTTTAAACTACATCAGAACATTTCTGGTTTTTAATTATTTACAAGAATTACCATTACAAATGTGGTTTTTGGAACAAAGGAATAAAAACTGACATACACTCAGGATAAATATGTCATCAGTGACAAAGAAACCTGAGTGTTAACTCCAGATTTGTTATGAAAACTTTCTAGAAGAGGTAAAAACTATATTTGGCTTGAAGTGATTTGTTCTACCCTGATAATGCCTAGCTAGCCTAAAGCTGGTATCCCTGGTTTGGGGAGCGATCATCCTCAGTCGGGTGAATCCATAACCCCTTAAATCCCTAAAGCATCCTTCTTCTCCTGGCTAGGACATCTTTTTTCTACGGCAACCTCCAGCAGTCTGAAGGGCTATAGCAATTTTTCAGGTGACATCTACTTGAACTTGCTTTGTCAAACTTGGCACAAAACTAATTTAGAGGGAAAGGAACAGGTGAAAAAATGGCTTTAGGACATCCTTGCACATATGCCTGCTAGACTAGTCTTAACTGCCCTTAACCACCTTTTAGCAAAGCCACACAAGAGAACCAAAAGGTTTAGATTACACAAATGCTTGCTGCTTATGAGCGGCTTCAGACTGATTTCCACTGAAGTTCAGGGGAGTCAGAGCAACAAAGGACTGGTCCTTTTTGTGTTTTTGCTCAATTTCTTATACATGGGAAATCTGAACATGATCTTGCTTTCTTATTATCAATTTTCAGAGGAAGAATGCCTGGCAGGGTAGCAGAGAGGAGTCTTTTGTGCAGGGCCAAAGACTATTGATAATGAGAACAAATTCCCGGGTTATATTCCTACAAGCTCCGGAACTGCAAGTATGCTTCTATTAAGGAGATAATGTAAAAAAACCATAAAATTAATCCCTCTAATTTTGATGACAACCATGTTCCAAAAACATTATTACCTCTAGAGAATTTTTACCAACTCACTAACATTTAAGAGGCAGGTGTTGATCATGGGATGGCATCATGGACAATTTGTTTTCTCACAATTTATAACATATATTGAGGCAAAACAAAATCTGAGGGGAAGAAACAACCATTTCAAATCAGTCCTTGCAATGAGGACACGCTAAATAGAGGTCTTTTTCTACACGTGCATCCTCAGGAAGAGAAAGAGCTTGAATTAGAGGCTAAAGGACACTGTGAGCAACAGAGACAGAGTATTTTCCTACTTTATTTTACTCCTTTAGAGCCTAGTCTCTTTTAAAATTAGAGCTGACTGACCTTGCAGGACAAGGATCCAGATTACACTCTTGAAGTTTTGGCTTTGGCTTGATATTTTCAGGATAATAGTGACAGTATTGATCTGCTACTACTCGGTTGCTTCTCAGATCAAAACATTCAGCAGATGTCAGCTGATAACCTGCAATACACAGTGAAAGAAACAGTATGTGATGTGATGTTCTTCCTGTCTCTCTCTGAAGTGTGTCTGAGGTCTGGTTTGGTAAAAAGCAAACTGACAATATCAGCACTTTTGGACGTAATAGCTGCTGTTTTACAGACCAGATTGAAAATAATTTCAATCATAAGTAGTAGGAAACAAAAGATAACCAGTGTGGTCAAATAAAAATTCAGAAGCCTAGAGCAAAAAGAAAACACAAAGGCCAGGGTTTCTTGGTCACCAAGAATCATACACTCAGTTTCAGTTCAGCTAAAGGTGCAGGTGGGGATGGGGGCAAATGGAGACATCTTGTGATTCCAAAGCAGGCCCAGACCCCACCAGCCCTTATGTTTGATAGCTGTAGCATTAAATGCAGTCATGTGGATATTAAAATGTACTTTATGTACAGACCGTGATATGATACTAAAAAATCTACAGGCCACTACCACTTTTGCTACATCCCTCCCTTCCTTTAGATGTAACTACTTTGATTTTCAGTTTTTGCCCATTTTAAAGGTCCAAATCTCAGTGCAGCAGCTGGGACAGATCCTGTGTGCAGATGACTTTTTCTAGAATACAGTGGTAATTCTTTACCTCCTCCACAGGAAGCTGAACAAGGAAAGAAATCAGTTTCTCTCCATCGGTGAATGATGGGCTGATAGAAGATAAACTGAACTGAACTGTCAGCAGCACCAGCAGAGCGGATCTGAAAAAGATGTGACGCCAAAGAGTGAACCTGACATAGATACTGGGAAGAAGCATTCTGCCACATGCATCTCACAGCTTTGAGACGTCTTGCAGCTACATGAACTACCAGAGATACTTTGCAATAGGAAAATTATAAATAATCAGTAGCATTTCTGACCATTCTGAGACCTTGTTCTGAAATAATGAATGCGTGGTAAATACATGGTTAGTGCTACTGAATAATTTTATGGAGACAGAGGACTTGGACTGATCTTTATTCCACCAGAAAATTACCTACCAATCCCTGCTGTCCCTGCCTCATTGACATGGATTTTAGATCTTTAATATTTCCCAAACACCCTCTGAGACCATGTATACAATATTAGATCATTCAGAGTAAAAAATGAGAGGCCGTGCTGTGAGAAACACAAAAGTACAAAAATTCAAATTCAATATTTTTTTTTCTGAGGTGAGGTCTCTTTTTCATTATTCTTTGTGGTACTGTCACTATTATAAAACTGACCTGCTCACTTTATTTTGGCTGCAAAAATGTTCCTTTCAGTCATAGGCATGGACTCTTGGCTGTAGCTAAATGCATGTTCAGAAAACACTCTTTAGTACCTACAAATACTGCCAACTTTTAAGCCACCTGAGCTTCACTATGCTTCCAGTGCTTCATGGGCTGAATGTATTTCCCAGGAAAACAAGAGTTTGTAGTGCAACGAGTGCAATAAGAAAGGAGAGCTGCACACTGCTAAAGCAGTACCACTTGCACCTGGCCCAGGAAAAAATCCTTCCTGTTTGATAGCTGTGGTGATTAATACAGTTATGGGGACTTAAAAATCTCTGCAAGGTATCCATTGTCCTTACCTTTAAGCATTTGATGAACAGCTGGCAAAGGAAGAAAAACAATGCTGCTACTAAAAGCCTCTCCTAGTTGATTATTTGTCATAACGCATTGGTGTTGCTTGGGCATCTACATCAGTGGCATAATGCTATTGCAAGAGAGAAAACTGCCAAATCACCACCGGAACAGAAGAACCCTTCTCCAAGTCATTACTCTTACTCTCAGGAGCCATCCTCCCTGTACTTGTTTTCAGACTGTTTAAAATGTTTCATTACTGTCTCCTTTCCTCACATTTAGAACAAATTGCCCTGTTTTGGAAACACCATTTTTCAATCTGCCTTTCTTTTTCTCTCTTTCCAGACACTAAGAGATACTGTTAAACAGTAGGCTGTGAAACAAAAGCAAGAATATGACTGTGGTGGTTTTAGTCTGGCTGGTAGCCAAACATCAAACAGCCACTCGCTCACCCTCCCATGATGGGATGGGGGAGAGAATCAGTGGGGTAAAAGTGAGAAAACTCGTGGTTTGAGATAAAAACAATTTAATAATTGAAATAAAATAATAATGTCAATAATAACAGTAATGATGGAATATACAAATGAGTGATGCACAGTGCAATTGCTCACCACTTGTGGACCAATGCCCAGCCCATTCCCTGTCTAGAGATCCCAGAGCAGCGACAATACCAAAAGTGAAACCATAATCCTGGTATAGTGAGAGAGAGGAAGAAAACTTTCTGGCCAAACCTCATTTATACACTGCAAATGACGTGATATGATATGGAATATCCCATTGGCATATCCAAATGACAGTCAGAGTCTATTAATCTTAGTATGCTCTCCCACAGTTTCTTCTCCACCTGCAGACTACCAAAACAGGGAAGTCAGAACATCCTTGATTTTTCTTAGCAATAACTAAAACCACTATTATCAACATTCTTCTCATAACAAATCCCATACTGAAACCAAAACACAGAGTTGTTCTAGCTACTAAGAAGAAAATTTGCTCAAGGCCCAGCTGAAACCAGGACAATGACAAATTGAGCTGAATCACATAATCTAGGTTGTTTGTTTTGTTTTCCCCTGTAGATGGACAGAAACATGATTACAAATCAAAGCATATCTTGAAGAGAAGGAGGAAGGCAAAAATACTGCAGGATATGTTGATGGGTGTAAGAGATCTGGCCCATCAAGACTAAGGCTGCCCTTTTCTAATTAAAGTAAACACTGATGCAAATTCCCAACAGGAAAAAAAAATACAGTCTATGTGTAAGAAACAGGGTACCTAATTCCTTGTGCGGGGTTCTTGCATTAATCACACACTTCAGAAGGGTCTTTCTGGGCTCATGAAAGCCTCATGGACTCTTGGGAAACATGTTCCATTGTGCTGGAAGCCATTCGGGGAGGTCTCTGATCTGAGTGTGCAGAAAAAGCATTCACTGGGGAGAATTCTGCTCTTTCTTACTCTTTATTTTTTTAAGGATCATCAGTGATTCTTAAATGCAGAAGATTACTCAGCAGTACAGTCTTCAGTGAATCATTAAGAACAGACCAAGAGCTCACACAGAGCCTACTATTAAAGTTCACATTAAAAAAAAAAAGAAGACAGAAGAGTTACTCTCCCTACAGACTATTCCTGCATGTCTGCAAAATCATGTGTCTGTTTGGACACAGAGAAAAGACAGATATACATCTTTTCCAGCCTAATGTGGAAGTCACTCATACAGTCACAGATAGGAAAGTATTACAATGAGCCACAGCCACGAGCTAAATAGAAACAAAACAAGCAAATTAAAGAAGCAGGCACACAGTATCATTTATTTTTTTAAGGAGTACTGTAAACAGAAGAGGAACAATATACGGTGATTCCACACAGCAAAAATTTCTTTTTTGATTTTGTTTGACAGTTTGTTAAAGCTAAGATCTTGATCCAGGAGAAAACATCAGTGGCTGCTTGAGTCTTGCAAATCTTGAAGTGAGACTTGATAACCTAATGTTTTAAGAAATATCCTGGTTTTGCTGCATAGGGCCAGCTTCCACACATTGAAATACTCTGATCTGGAGTACAGTGAAATTTTTACCCACGCATTATTTGTAACACTCTACTCGCGATGAGAAATGCCACAGCTCTAAAAAGACATGGTCAATACTTGAGAATCTTTAGTTAGTCCTCTAACTGAATTTCGCATCCTTAGGTCATTGAACCATAAAAATTGGAAATCATTCATTATGTTTGCAAATAAAATCCTATCTACATTTATTAATAGCAGACAGCAGAAGTACTCAGATCTTGCAGCCCTGCATTTGTGCACTGCAATCCCCTAGAGATCATCCTTGACTTCCTTTATGCTCCAGGGGAGTTTGGACTATTCTGAACAACAGAGTAGCTCTCACCACTTTGTAAAACCAAAGAGGATATCACTAGTCTTATTAAGAGTTAGTTAAAATTAGAGTCCTCAGACTATCCATCAAAAATTGACTGTCTAGCCTACAGTCACTAGCAACAGACATATCTTTTTTTCTTGTAGAAAGATCTTGAAAATACCCCATTGCTCATGCTCTGCTTTTTAAAATAAATTTTGTAAAAGATTGTCTGGCACAGTGAAACATAAGCACAAGCTGCTACTCAGGTGAAGTTTGTGATTGATAAAATGAGGTATTGATCTTGGAGATACCCACAGAAAGTTGAGCAAAAACAACAGACCTTCTAATTCGAACATAAAAGCAGCATAATCTTTTCGAATTATTCTGATCTGTTCTATGACCAAGAGACTGCAATAACTGACTTTACCTTTGTGTTGTTATTTTTCCTATAGCCCCAAAGTTTGATTAGTTCACATAAAACCAACCAAAGATGCAAAGTCCCCTAAAGCCCAAATGTTTGATGCTTGATTTTGGAAGCATATGCCTGAACCATTTGTTTATGTTCACTGAAGAACACATGGCCTGGCCTACAAAACTGCACTAAGTTTACTTGGGGGGTTGTGAAATTTAATCAACAGTTTATAACTAGCATTGTTTATAACAAGCAATTATCACTGTTAATTGTAGGGTTAAACCATGAAAAGTGTATTCAATAAGATGATCCCATTATCTGAAATTGTGTGTGTCAGGGGAAAAGGAAAGACACCTTTTATTTCTTCTGTGTTTGTGTCCTAGAAGGTGAAAAGGGAAGGGGAATCACTATTGCATACCATCTTTTGTCTTATGAAATTTGATCTGGTAGATTATGATCTAGCTCTATGCCACTATGCTTATTGAAAAAGTTCTAATGGATTTTTCCACATTCTTATTGCAAATGCTTTCTGCGAGTGCGAAATCCCGAATCATTTGGTTCGATCTATTAATGAAAAGTTCAGTGTTGAAGTCTCCTAAGTAACATACAAAGAAACTGGGGATGAGGATGTGGAGAACTATCCCCATGTGGCAAACGTAAATTTGTGCTTTTTATATCAGTAAAAACAAAGCTCTTGTATGATACTTTCTCTACTTAGAGTGCTTTAATAATCTTGTTTATATGTAGTCATACCTTACATTGAAAAAGGAGGATGTGCAAGAGATTTGTTGCTGTTCATAATTTGTTCATGAAGTAGAAGTAGGAGGGAAAATAATTTTTATGAGCTTGTTTAAAATAATATAAAAAGTACAAAAAATGAAAATAATGAGAGATACTGAAGGCTTTCAAGCATACTATCTAACACAGGACTACACCATGTCTCCTCTGAACTTTCCTATTAGTTCCCTTGGAATGCTGAAGAGAGTTCTGCCTTTGAGCTCGAGGGAACATGTATATTGTCCATTTCTGGATTCATGTCCCTTGATTGTGATAGTACTGTGCTGGATCAGCTTGTTTACTTGCTCACCATGCTGCAATCTTGCTGCATCTCTTCTGTGGATACCACACATATCACCCCACTCACGTATGGAAAGACCATTTCAAGACCAACACCATGCTTCCAGGGTAAGAGAATTTGCCTTTGAGCAAGCCACATTAATCCCCACTGCAGAATATTTATTAACCTTAATTTAATCATTGCAATACCTAAGAAATCAATGTATAAAAAATAGGATCCTGTTAGATAGATACTGTATAAAAACACAATAAACAAAATAAAAAGGCAAAGCTAGCCACAAAAAAAAAAAAGTTAAAATGTTGAAAACTAAACAAGGTTG